TCATTTTTTTACTAAAATATGTTATTATGTTGTTTACTTTCTTATTTATTCTTTTAAAACAATTTAGTTATTTAAGCGGATCAAATTGATGCTCAAAGGGTGGGTTACCTAAAGATATGCCTAACAAGATATAATTAGAGAGGGAAAAATTCTTAGGAATTTTTTGTAAGTTAACTTAGAAAAATAGTACAAGTTACTTAGATACACAGTTTATTTATATAGGTCATGAGTTCAATTTTTGGTTAGTTTCTTGTTTTACATATTGTATATAATAATTATTTATTTGGATTTTTTTTTTTCCTGTTAATTTATTGTTTTACATATTGCATTGAATAGCTATTTCTTTTTATTGTATTTAAGCTTTATGCTTTGTATTCTAGTTTACTCATGGTTAAAATTAAAATTTTAAATTCAAACTTAAAACAATTTCCAATTAATTTTTAAAAGTTCCGTACCACAAGCCCATGTATCATTTGTAACGCCCCATTTTTTTTTTTTATATTGTACGTACTTAACAAACAACCAATTCTATAACAAAACGGTCATGCACAAGGAAACACTAACATAATCCATTATCCAATTATCAAGATAATCCTACAATCATGGACAAGACATCGCACACAATACAACCATACTCAATATCTATGCTACCATCAATTCTATATATTCCATTCAGTCAAAACAAAACGACACTCTTCATCCTGTACTCTACACACTAGGTTCGGAATCCAACAACTTCGATCTAGACTCCGTCCCTACATCATCTATAAAAAGAAAACACTAGCATAATCCATTATCCAATTATCAAGATAATCCTACAATCATGGACAAAAAATCGCACACAATACAACCACACTCAATATCTATGCTACCATCAATTCTACATATTCCATTCAGTCAAAACAAAACGAAACTCTTCATCCTGTACTCTACACACTAGGTTCGGAATCCAACAACTTTGATCCAGACTCCGTCCCTACATCATCTGTAAAAAGGAAAGAGTGAGCTCATTTAACTCAGTACGGTAAAACTCAAAATACATGCGTGAGATGCAACAATATAAAACTCTATGCCTCTACCAATAGTTCACTACTGAACTCCAATTTTCCCTCCTGCACCTACAACTCTACCTACCCTAGGTGTTCTTTCCCTGACGGCACTCCAGGCGTGCCAGTGGTACCATTCACCGCCAAGATTGGCAACCATTAACACCTATCGACCCTTAGTGGGCCACGCACGCACACGAGTTTCAATCATTTTCGTCACCAACAGCGGTGACCATCATTCACCTATCGACCCCCTATCAGGCCACACACACACACTCTAATCCTTCTCTCCGTCACCACCATCGGCGACCGTTAGCCATCTCACGACCTATACCAGGCCACTCACACACACCCGATTTTCACTCACTTGCGCCACAACATCGGCGACCGTTAGCTATCTCTCGACCTATACTAGGCCACACACACACTCTGATCATTCCCTCTCGTCACTGATATCGGCGACCACTAACCATCTCTCGACCTCTACCAGGCCACGCACGCACACCTTTTTCATCCATTTGATTTTCGTCACCAACATCGGCGACCGTCAGCCATCTCTCGACCTATACCAGACCACTCACACACACTCTGATCATTCCCTCTCGTCACCGATATCGACGACCACTAACTATCTCTCAACCTATACCAGGCCACGCACGCACACCATTTTCATTCACTTGCGTCACCAACCTCGGCAACCATTGTCTACCTATCGACCCCCATCGGCCACACACACATACACCACTCCTTCTCGTCCACTGTCTCTCTCTCCGCTCGCTGCCTGCGACATGTCCTAATTGCCCCCACTCACCCAGTCCTTCTTCCCCCAAGGCTCCAGCTACCCCACTCCATTCCCCCAAGCATCTCACTCACCCGATGGATCCTTCCCTTCTCCAACATTCACTCCCTGCCTCTCCCTAACTCTCTCTCGGGCTACAACCTCCCGCCACACCATCCTTCTCACCTCACTCACCCCGCGGATTCTACCCTTCCCCAGCGTTTCCCCACTGCCTCTACCTATCTCTCTCTCAGACTATGTCCTCACACCACAACATCTCCCTATCTCCTTCCGCGTTGCTCACACAGTCCGCTCTCTCCCACACCGTTTTCCCGCCCGTACCGTCACCTTCTCTCTCTCTCCTCCCGCGATCCTCACGCGGTCACTTCCTTCGTTCACGCACCTCTTTTCTCTCTCCCGACCTCTACTCACTCCGCACTCCTATCTCTCTCCTGACCTCTGCCTGTACTGTCACCTTCTCTCTCTCTCCTCCCGCGATCCTCACTCGGTCCGCTTCCTTCCACCCGCCTCACTACACATCCTCACCCAGCCTCTTCCGTTTACCGCTACATACGTAAGCCGTGGCCACGCACGCCACACATCCAACCATTTCACAATCAAATCAACACACACATTTAGATTTTGGTACCGTACCTCCCATTTCCATTTTTCCCTCTTTCGGCCAAATGTGCTATCACCGTCTGCGATCTCCTCTTCTCTCCGCTCCGCTTCCTTTCTCCCTCCTTCTGGAACCTTCCTTCCTCTTCTCTCTCTCTCCCGCTCCCCTTCTTCCTCTGCTCTCTTTTTTCCCTCTTTTTTTTTCTTTTCTTTTCTTTTCTTTTCTCTTCCCTTCTCTTCCTTCCCCCGCCCCCTACTTAAATCACCCCAGTTTTTCCTCAAAACGGCGTCGTTTTCCCCCTTGCAAAACGACGTCGTTTTTCCTTTTCCAAAACGACGCCGTTTTCTCTCCTCTGCAAAACGATGTCGTTTTTCCCTTCCCTCTCCCTCTTTTTTTTTTTTTTCTTTCTCTTTTTCCAGTTATTACATTATTTGTTTTCTATTTTGTTATATTTTTTTTGAATTCGTTATCTTTTTATGTGATCAATAATTTCTGGTGCTAATTTCACCTTAAAAAGTTAAATCATGATTCCTTTTTAAGTTTTTACGAGTGACTCAATATCACCAATATTACAATAGTTCTATAATATATATATATATATATATATATATATATATATAAAGTGGAGTCAAAATAAAATGAAACAACAACCATGCAAGATCACAGTAGTTGAAATAAAAATTCAACGCAAGTAAATGAAATATAATAATAGCTGTAAGGTGAATGAAATATGGGTTTGACATATTCGATGGGACATACATAATAAAATTTAAAGTTCTTATTTAATTAGTTTTTCATTAAATAGATTAGCACTTAATCACATTTGATTTAATTTTATCAAACCTAAACATACCAAACTAATGTGATAATGCATTTTTGGAGTCATGTATTAGCATAGATATGTGATAATGCACTTTTAAGATCATTTATTACCACAGATCTAAAAAATCAAGTTTAGATCCAAGAAACATAACTTGTGTATACTTGGCTAAAACTAGCTTCCAGCAAAATTTCAGGGAAAACATTTTCTCTAATTTTTTTTTTTCTTTGATCTCAAGGGTTAGTGGAAGATTTGCGTAGATAGATTTTTTTTTTTAAAATTTTTTCGGTAAATAATTTATAATAAGTGTTTAACAATTCAGAATCTATACTTAAAGAAATTTTAATTAAACTAAGATAAGAACAAAAATTTAGAAGAAACATGAAGCTCCAATGGGTTTTGGAACCTTTTCCAAATCGTTCCAAAACTAATCCCAAGCATATAACTTTAAACTAAAGTGTAATATCTTTTTGATATCTGATTGCGATTTTCTTTCTTTATAATATATTTTATAATGAATATAATTTCATTAAAGATAAATTTTTTAAATCTAATATTTAAGTTTAATTAAAATATTGAATATTAGTTCAAAACTAATATTAATATATTAATTAACTTACTATAAAATATTTTAAATAAATATTAAGACGTAAATGCGATTTGATTTTAATAGATATCTAATGTGCAGGTATGATTAATTTTAGTTAATTGTTCATAATTATGATAAAAATAGGTATGTAGTTATCTCATGGTCAAATTATCAAAATACGTATGTAGTTTACTGAAATATTTAATTATTCTCTATATTCAGGTTCAAATTGGGGTTATTGTGGCTAATCAATTAACAACATTTTCACTTGGTATTTTTGACTTAAACTAATGCCCACTTATATATTCTATATATTGTTGATCATTTAAAATAATTAATTATTTTATCTCAAATTCAAGATAATTATTTAAAAAAATTTAACTAGTTATTTTTTATATTTTAATTTGACGTATTTTTTTAATTAAATTCTTTAATAAAATTATGTTAAATTTAATTATTTTTTATTAATAAAATATATCTTTTGTTTGTTTGGTCACTCAAAATATAGCCTAATGTATTGACTGATGCCATTTGACCATATAATTAGCAATATAACGAAATAATATCGTATGGTATGCTTAGACCATTAAGTGGGATATTGTATTGTCATACCCTCATTCAATTAAAATTATCATTCAACTCTAGCGGATGTTAAATATTATAAAATCTTTTGTTATTTAAAACTGAAGTCACAATTTCAGTGAAGAACATTAAGATTCCACCAAAATAATGATTGCTAAAGCTAATAAGTTCAGTGACTTAACAATCAAACATCATTTAAACTATAATGACAACATAAATATCTTCCTTTTTTAGAAGATTTATTTCTTTAAAGAAGGAAAATTAAGTATACTACTATCTGGGCTTCACTCAATACCTTTGTTAATTAGGCATAATTCTTGAAACATGAAAACATTTTATTTGTTTCTTGGGAGAACTCATCACTTCAGTCCATGACAGCACTATGGTCCTAATAAATCTCTTTTTAATCAGAATTCAAGAATTTACAACAACTAAATTACTGGTTTAGTTTTTCATTACTAAATTTCTAAAAGGTTGACGTTGATGATTTCATCAACATAATTTCAGATCTTTGTTAAGAATGAAATTTGTAAAGGGGATGCCAAAGGTAACAGCTAATCAGAAATGAGTGAACTTAAATAATGAAAATAATAATAATAATAATTAAACCACAATATTGAATGAATAGCACAAGCTTAAAGCTTTATCCTATATCATGCCCACCAACAACCATACAGATATGGTTCCATAATTTTGAGGAGGGATAGACCTTTCTGCGAACCTCCTACAAGAACCCACTAAGGAGCAGAACAGGTTATTCTTGATTGATGTACATATACATACATATTTATGTATGTATGTCATTTTCCTATTTCTTTTGGGAGACAAAGGGATCAGCAGTAGCTGTTGGATGATATGAAGAAGATGGGTTCTAATTAATTAACCCTTCTTGGGATCAAAGTAATTGTTACTTCTTGGCGGCTGGGAAACTATTCTTGTGTTCTCCTGTGGCCTCTGGGACTTGGTACTGGAGGCATTGAATCTTCCTTGTCTGTGTTTTCTTCTTGGTTGGGATGATCTGGGAATAAAAACTCCTGTTCCCCTACTCTCTCTTCTGCAACTTTGCTGGTACAGAAATATTGGAGATGGTGGTGTTGGATGATTTAGTCTGGAGAAAGCCTGAAATAAGTTTAAAACAGTAAAGCCCTTGTATATATATACACATACACTAAGATTACAGTATGTTGTTTTGTTTTTTGTCAAGGGAAAAAATGAAAAACCTGGAAAGAAACTGGGGGACATCCTGCAACTGGGTCCTCATCATCATCCATGATTAGAAGAGAGATCCGCCTGCTTAAATCTGCAAAAAACAAATCATCTTCTACTTCCATGGCCACTTCCATATGTAGCTGCAATCTTTTTCTTCTTCTTCTTCTTCTTCTTCTTCTTCTTCTTCTTCCTGGATGTGTTTATGGGAGATTCATAGATGTTAAAAGGTTTTTAGTACTGAGCAGCGAAGTGGGTTATATAAATATAGAGAATGGGAAAAGGGAAAAGTTACATAAAAAGTAAATAGGGAGTGTGCATGTGAGATGGTGGGGTCTAATTACAATGGCAGTTGTGTTATGATATTATCCAGAAAATGAGCAACAGCCCACACCCAGATATATCTAATTCAAGATAGACGCAATCTCCACCTTGCTTGGCTGTAAATGAGTAAGGCCTTAAAGACATCTCTCAAATACATATATCCATCTACATATCTATCTCTTTACAGACCTAAAAGGGACCAAGAACACATCCAATACAGATCCTTATCTGGGTCATATACTATACTAAAGTTTAGTTGATCATAGTTAGCTAGCTGTGCTGCCTGCCAGAAGATCTATCCTTGTTGGATACCTTGTGTCTGGTGGGGTCCAATACTCATAATGTTAAAGTTCAGAAAAGTCTTTAAATGAGTTTGAAAGGTCATGTGCCACTCACTGTAACATGTTGGTATATAAAACATGAGACCAGATTTTGCTCTCATTTATGGCTGAAGAAAGCTACCTATTATTACTTTATAACCACACAAAGTAAATCATATATAACTTTTTTATTTTACAAGCACATTTATAGGTAAACATTTGTTTTAAGGTGCATACAATTTTTTTTTTTTTTTTTAAATTTTTTGTGACATGTATTCATGCATCAATCAGGAGTCTTTAAGTAGATTTTTTTTTTTTTTTAATGTCTATTCTTATTTAGAACTGCTCTATTTTAAATTACATTAGCTGTTAGTAAGAAACATTCTAATATTAATATTATTTAGTAATTTGAAAGTCTCTTTTTATACATTTATTAGAAAAGAAAAGAAAATATATGTATTATATACGTATATGTTGCCGAAAAAAAGTAAATAATTTTTTTTATTCAAGTATTACTTATCCCCTATAAAATGCTAGACAAAAAACAACAACTCTTTAATTGTAATGAAATCATTGTTTGCCTTATTATAACTACAACAAAGAATTTTTATAACAAATTAAATATATATAATTCTAAAAAAATAATAGAAAGATCTAATTTGAAATTTTTTGTGATCTTGAATCAATTTTGCGCTTCAATATAATTATTAAGATACAATAACTTATTTTCAGCATAAATATTAACAAAAAAAAATTTAAAAACTTTTTTGATGAAATCAAACAATACATGTATAAAAGGAAATAGACATGTACGCATTGAAATTATTTCTTCTCAACATCAGTAAATGGTGTGTTAATTAATACTTGTATTTATTTATAACTATATGTTACATGTGGAAGAAGATAAAAAATCTTTTGTAATTATTATTGTTATTATTGGCTCCAAGTTTTGGACAACCTAATAGGGGGAGTTAATTTAGTTATAAATTTTTTTAGATTTTAAGCATGCTTTCCCACTCTTTTCTTTTTTAACTGTCGATTAAAATAGACAACCTACTTTTAAATATTTATATTAAATATTTATTTTATATGTAGCTATTTAAGTGTTAATTAAATATGTTTCTATCAATTAAATACTCATAGAAAGTATAAATTATATGCACATGTGAGAATAACCAAGAGTCTTTATGATTAATTCTGCATTGTATATATGTGATATGAGCAGTGATGTTTAAAGTGCTAGTGAAATATTTTGCTAGTAATTAAGTACTCATAAAAAAAATATAGATGATATGCACAAGTGAAAATAACCGAGAGTCCTTGGGATCAATTATGTGTATGTACGTGTAATATGAGCAATGATGTGATATTGAGTAACGATAAACAATAATTTAAAGTAAAGAGGCAAGGGAAGAGAGTGTAAACTCTTTCCGTAGAGCTTCGATCACACCACTTTGTGCTTACTTCATCTTTTTCAAGACAACTATTATAGTTTTCATTACTTTCTCTAAAGTATTACAACAATTTAATTGGTCACAATGTCTTCCTCACTGATCACTTAGATTTCATTAAGTACTACTACTCATTTATCAAGGTACCAAGATCACCTATAATTGCATTGCGTTCATTATCATCTTTTTGTAAGACTTTTGTTAATACTCTGTTATATGAGAATGATAGTATTTCACTATGTGATGTTAGTAATGCACTAAAATTAAAAGAGTTAAAAAAGAATTTTCTAGAGTATAGAACAAAAAAGCAAAGTTTAGTGAATAGAGGAAGAGAATAAAAAAAGAATGTTTAAAAGCCAGCTCAAAGTCTAAAGCTGATAAACAAATTGTTATCAGTACAGGGAGTAGGGTCACTTTAATAGAAAATTTCCTAAGTTGAAAGAAAAAAAGTAGGAGAATTCTACTAATATAGTTGACATAAATAATTCTGATGATAGTGAAAGTAGTATTATTAGGAAAGTTCTTTTTGTGAGTTCAGATTATGGAAAATTTCCTAGATTCTTGATTTTGATGCTAAAATTTACATGTGTCCACATAAGTAATTGTTTGTTACCTACAAGCAGACGAGTGATACTGTATATATGGGTAATGACAGTTCATTATTTGTAGATGAGATTGGTAGCATCAGACTAAGAATATTTAATGGAATCGTCAAAATTATTGAATGTTAGCATGTTTCTCAAATGAAAAAGAATATGATTTCTCTTTCTATATTAAATGTTTAAGGTTGTAGATATCATGTAGAAAATGGTATCCTCGAAGTGTATAAAAGCTCTATGATACTTATGAATGATAATTTGAAGTTTAAATTATATAGTCTTCAGGATAGTGCAGTTTCAGGAAAACTGTAATAACACAAAGAGTAATGATCAAAATAAGGGTAGGTTATGACTGATAGAGGTTATCTGTTTCAATTAAGTAGCATTTATTAAACGGGTATAAAAAAATCGTAGATTTTTTGTGAATATTGTGTGTTTAGCAAATAGACCAAAGTAAAGTTCAATAAAGGGCAGTGCATAATACTAAAGATAAGTTAGATTGTATTTATTCTGACTTATAGAGTCGAAATAGAATTCTCACTAAGAGTGTTGTTAGGTACTTCATGACTCTAATTGATGATTACTCCCATATGGTTTGAGAGC